TCGATTATTCTCTGGGGAGAGGGGGGGGGAAGGGAGTACAAATTTCGAAACAAAGATCACATGAAAACAAAAAGAACACATACTGCTGAAGAGAGTGCTGTTCTTTTTGCCGGAAAGTTGGGACAGCAGGATAGATAATTTGTTTTTGATATTAATATCTCTATATGCAACTATACGAGTAAATCATTGCCGATTTGTAAAAATTATTTTGAGCAATTTTGAGTTAAACGTGTTTTTGAAATTCTGTGAATTTTACGGTTTTCGTTTTCATATATGTATTAAAAAAAAAAAAAAATACTATTATAAAATGCTCATTTTGTTTTTCAATCCATAAGTACAATTTATGACGAACCTAATTTAAATATGTCAAGCGTTTCTGCACGGCTAAGCAATTTGATCTTTGCCAAACAAGCGAAAAATTAATTGATTAATGCGCATTTCATCGTTACTTGACTGAAATATTTATACATCGGTGATTAAATTACTCAGCAAAACATATCGTAGATGTTGTATTAGAAAGTCAATTGGAATACGGATATGAACCCTAACCATCCTCCCCCTGCCCACGCTACTGGTTTCGGTATTCATCAAATTATTCTAAAATGCGATCGACAAATAGAATGATGAACCTATATTTATTTTTTTCGCCCGAGTAATAAACGATATTGTTTTCACGAATTACATAATTATATTATTACGCATTTTTGCTCCTAGAGTAATACGACGACGACGACGACGATAGTGCTAAGTGGCCGTTTAATCTTTTACGCAAGTTAAGTCAGTGTTTTGAAAATCGTAATTTGTACCGTGAGTATACAATATTACATTATATAGGTATAGTTCCGTTCGGATTACACTGCGAGCATTACCGTCCTTAAGTCGGTGACAATGGGTCCGTCCCCCCCCCTCTCCTTGCGTCACGTTTTATACGCTCGCATTATATCGATCGAATAAAAAATGTATGCATATATAAGTGACATACAAAATTCAATTGCCGTTGAAATGTACAATAATTACACGGGCGAGCATTTTGAATATTTATAACGTTATATGGACGGTTTGAATACTCAGATACGACGTACGCGCGCGCATTTCTGTACCTATATGACTTGAAAAATGCCTTTTTATATCAAAATGTTTTCATTTTAAAGGCGCATCTTTTTGATTCTTAGCAATAATACCGTAAATGCAATAGATTTCATAACAAACGCGGTAAAACTCATAAACCTACGCAATTTTAAAATAATATTCTAATATGATACTAAGCAAAAAGACAATATCAAACATATATTATACCTGAACACAGTCTCGTAAAAGATAATTTTTAAAAGTATAATGCAGGTACAGATAAAGATATTCGTTTTTAAAAGTATTTAAAATACGTATATGAATATAAATACAGATACTATAAAAAGTATTTTATTGGTACACTTTCAAGCTTTTTAAACAAAATTTTTTCTTATCCTTTATATCAATTAGTTTTTTTTTTAGTATTTTAGTTTTTAAATTATACCTTAATTAAACATCGACATTTGGTTTAGATAAAAAGTAATTGTATAATATTAATCTATAAACTGCTTACTCATCTGTTTTCTTAAATAAATTATTTGAATTTTCAGTTTGGCTGAGTTACATAAAAAATTATCTCGATTGTAGAAAATAGCATTAGAATTAATTAATCTCCATAAGGCATATAACAGGATAAATAAAACGCATGCCCTTATATTATAATTTTTTGGCGATCACTATGACTCCTGAAAAATATTGAACCATCTAATAAACTCTATATTGAACCTATTTCAGTCCGCTGCTGTGAGATAAAAATATGAAAATTATTACACGATTTCTAACTGAAATCATATACCCATTTCTCAAATTTTTTTTTTTATTTAACGTGATTGATATTAAAACAAAACATATGTGAGCCAAACAGCAAAAGTATTTTAAAATTAGTATTTGATTTTGAATTACAGATACTTCGAGATAGTATTTAAATATACTTTGTTCGAACAATTTGGTTTACCGCACTAATAATATTTTTCGGTCGATAATTCGTTCGTATTTTTTTAGTGGCTATCACTTCTTGCAAACGGTAAAAATCTATCAAATGATTCAAAATGTATATTTCCGATGTTAAATTCTAATAATAAATATTAAAAATCATTTTTCTTCGTGTATACTTTAATCACTTTTCTTTGTACGCCTATGTATTTTATTGCAGCCGCACTGATACCCGTAGGTTCGAATGTCCCGTTAAAATACTCTACTCGACTTTCCGATACGAAAAATGTACGCTTTAAAATAATACAGCCGACCCAATTCGACGCGCTATGAGGTTATATACACATACATTACATAATATGTCGTGTAAAAAATATTTGAATTCTCTCTGGGAACGTTTTTCTTTTTAATAATTCTCGTTACGATTTTCGTCTATGGTTTTTATTTTTTTTTAATTGAAATAGTATAATTTTTCGTTTGTTCACAAAAAAAAAAAAAAAAAAAAAAAAATAAACCGTCGGAATTAATATATATATATATATATATATATATATGTGTGTGTTTAAAACTACTCTGCGTTCTTTTCAAAGATTGCATAAACAACTTTGAACTTTATATCCATACAAAAAGATTAAGGACAACGTTTTTCGTATATTATAATGTTCCACGAAGCGCGAAAAATTTCATTTTATTTACCCTACCACTGTAATAATGATATTATATGCCATCAAGCGAAAATATTTGGAGAGGTAGAACAACTTCAATATAACATTGTAAAATGTACCTGCAACTCCTGTAAGAAGTTTATCTCATGCAGATATTCATTAAACAAAACGACTCAGGATTGAAGTCATGATTAGATAGTTAGCGAGGAACGTATGGGGTTCATTATTAAGTGTACTCGTGCACTTTCAAAAAAAAAAAATAATAATAATAATAAAAATGATTTTGACGCCTGCAGCCACATAGATGCGTCTTAAAAAAGCAACTGTCATGTATTACAGATGCGTATGCGTGTCATAACTTTGAATCAAACATGGATTTCCTTAGTAACACGGATGGAATGAAAAAAAAATTGAAAACGAAAAAAGAAATAATAACCTGAAATAAAAATACCATGACAACTATAATAACTTAAAATAATGAGTCTATCTGATTGTCTGCTGGTCTAATATTGACTTGAAATATACTGATAAAGGTAAAAAAATATAAGAAAATGAGCATGGGCAACACTGGGCGTAGTACAGCAAGAAGTATAAAATATTAAAAATAAAAAAAAATAGCTGATAGGAACGGGTGCGGCCAGTGTTATAGGTGGAAACTTCGGAAGGTAGGATATTACATAGGGGAATTTAATTTATATCTGTACGTAACGATTAATCATTGCTAATGAAAAATGATTCTGAACGGAGCTCAATCAATAGTACGTTATTATTTTATCAACTTTTCCATGACAATAATGATTGTTTAAAAAAGATTAAAAGATTAAAATAATAACAACAAATATATAAAAACAGTTGTCAATGACAACTTTATTTTTAATTTTCAAATCTTTTTAAGCTAAAAAACCAGTTTTCCTCATTATTTTGATTATTGGTGAGAATTTCAAAAAAAGACCTGTCTAAAGTACCAACTAGAGCTAAAATGCAACAAAAAATGTATTTTGTCATGTTGTGATTAGGGCAAGATTTCTAGAGAAAAAGTTGTTTACAGACAGAAAAAAAAAAATTAACACCATAGTAAAACTATAATAGATCCTTTGCTTCACTTAGTAGTTAAAATAAGTCATTGAAATATTTACTATTTGGTAGACGGAAAATGACATATAGAAATTGAATGCCTTACTTACGAAGCCTAGCTCCGATCTACAAATGTTACTGAAAGTAAACGTTGTCTAATTAGTACACTATTGTAGTCATTTTTGAGTTTTTCTTGAATTTTTCATTAGGATTATACATTTAGACATAGTACATAACACTCGGAAAATGTAAACTGTTTACCATTTTGTCCGCGAAAATCGAACGTTGTGCACGTTTCCTATTTTAAACATAAAATTCGTGAGTTTCGACAAACTATGTACGAGTTCATAGTTGTTTTAAATAACGAACAACAGTATAATAATATATTAAGTACAATATTATTTTCTAATATTGAGAAAACGTGATATTCGAGAGGATCCGTTAAAAAAACAAAACATAAATCTTGGACGAAGGCTCTGAAAAATAACTCACATTTAGCGGCAGTGAAAACACTATGTAGGTGACGGTTACCATTTAAAGGTCGGCGGCGGTGGCCAATCGATTAGCCCGGTGGAGTTGCAGGACGTGTATTGGCGATTTTACCGTAAATGCCTCTCGCAGCGCCCGGTCGGTCCGTTCGAATATCCGTCGGGACGAAGGACGGAGTTAGGGGTATTGTGTGTATGTGTGTGTGTGTGTGTGCGTGCGTGTGTAAGGGTGTAAGGGGGGGCAGAGGTGGGAGGCGAAATTGACTGACACGTTAAGAGCTTAACTAGTATGCAAATGCCGGTCGTCGGTAAATCATCCGAACCCGAGTGGCGGGCGGTGGTGTCGGCTTAAGTGCCTTGGAGAGAGAGAGAGGGGGAGGGATAGAGAGAGAGGGGGAGGGAGAGAGTGCGAGAGAGTACGGAGCGGGACGAAGGGACTCGACTCGGGGGTATCGCGGCATCCGCGTGCGAGCCACCGCACCGTGTATAAATCAATTTCCGCTCTTTCCGCCGAAACCCGAAATAAATAATATGAAACCGCACGACGACGAGAGCGAAAACGCCTATTAAAAATGATAATAAAACCCCTGACGCCGTGACGCGGCGGCTGCGGTTTTATTTATAACGCACACACTCAGAGGCGATAGGTGTCTGAATAATATTGTAATAAGCGCGGCGTGCGCCAGCGAACGGCCCACTGATAACGCGCACACTCAATGTCGGTACCTACCGATAGTCTTGTCCGACCGTCGACGACGTTTCTGTAAGTGCACGTGAGCCTGGACGTCTAACCGCGATTACCGCGCACGGAGAACTCCGGCGCCGGGGAAATACATTTACGCGAAAACGTGGACGTTTACAGACACGAAAATTCCCGTACAGAAACGCGTTTCAAACATTTTCGCTGAATTTTCACAAACAGCCGCGATCAACGGAGTCTCGTAACTATAGAATCGAATTTTTCTCTTTCTGTTTTGTGTAACAGAAATAATCACCATGACTCCTGAAAAATATTGAACCGTCTCATAAACTCCACGTGCACCGATCGTTGTACAATAATAAATAACCGGATCGGTAATACAATTATAATACAGCACCATTTTTTACCACTGTCTTTCAGAATTATCGGAACTAGAATCTAATATCTTCCAGAAAGAAAAATAGATAGTGAAATTTGATCATAAAACTGGTAGACGTGGAGATTGAACGTGACAAAATACACGGGTTGTATGCTATTGATCATTGTCTTTAATCAGTATATAATGTTTATATTTATTATCAACAAAAAGTATGTTACACTATACGTACAATGTTATGTTACCATATTATATTGAAAGCAACGATTAATGATTGTGATCAAAAAACGTTCCAGAGCAATATAAGTTATATTAGTCGTGTCCATTTTCTCAGTAACCAAGGTAACCAAGAAATCAATAAAAATAAAATCGTTATTTATTATCAGTTTTTTTTTTTTAAATTATAGTACAACCGGGCGAAACACCCGCATTTTTCAATGTATGGCGTCAATAAATCTGAACATTTTTACTCGCCGAAAAAATATGTGATTATATGTTATTACATTAATAATCATTTGTTTTATTAATAACTACTTTGCTACACTCAGAATTTAAAAATGAAGAAAAAAAAAGATTCATCACTATGATTGTATATTAATTTATCTTTAATATTAAATTCATAATTTTTGGTAATTATTATTCGATATTGAAAAATAATTAATATTAATTGGTTTAATTTTTCTTTAACGGAGGTGAGTTCGTTTTAAAATAAAATGCACTTGTAACTGACGGCAGCGCTTAAAATGAGCACACAAATATAACAAAAACCGATTATACGAAAATCACTTGGACCGTTCATTTCGAAAATTATAAAGAAATGCAGCCTCCTGCAGTGTATAGAAGTGTACACGCAAAGAAAATAATGGAATACAACGAATATTATTTTTATTTAAATATTTTAAAAGTGGACTTACTTCGTCCACTTTCGTTCGAATTATTCGCTTCCATTATAGGCAAAAAACATACTGAGGTTTTTTTGTAAAGGCTGATATTGCTGAGATGGGTGTGTCACTGTTTTAGGAGGAAAGTTGCATAGGAGGATATATAGAGTAATACAATTTATACGCAATGATGAACGATTGCTTACGAAAAATAAATATTATTTAATGTCTGTTAATTTTATAATACACATGAATTGTACGAAAATTTGTCAGTTTCTCAAATTTATTGAAAATTACAATTCAAATCATAACATGACCTCCTGTAATGTAAAAACAAAATTTAAAAAGGTACGTGAATGTTTTTATAGTGTTTTAAAAAAACGAAAAGATGTTTGAGGATAATGAGGTAGAGTGAAGCCACTGTTATAATTAATTCAATGTATACTTGTAATGATAGATCAATGGTGAAAAAACGATTCTGAGCGGGGTTCAGTTAATAGTGTTGCCTTGTCAACAATATAAAGTATAAAAGTGTATGTCATAATATTGTAAAATGATAACTACAATGTGTGTTTCCATAACAACAATGATTGTTTAAAAAATATTAAAATATTAAAATAATAAAAATTTAATAATAACAAAAAATAAAGAAAAACGGTTGCCAATGATAACCTTATTTTTAATCTTTCAATCTTTTTTAACCTAAAGACCGAGGTTTTCCACATTATCTCGAATATTAATGAGAATTTCAAAAAATGATGTCCTTAAAGTACCACCCAGAAAACATTTTCTTTCAGAAAAAGTGCTACACTTGATAATCGGAGTATGTTTTCTCGTAGAATAAGTGTTCTTCACATAAAATATAAACATCATTGTAAAACCAATACATTCCTCATTCCAGTCGGAATCTAAAATTATTAAAAATCATATTAAAAACCAATATATTTCTTAAATTTGCTCAGAATCTAAAAAAAAAATAAAAAAATAAAATCAAGACACGATATTTACAATTAATATTTATAAACGACACCTACCGATACATAATATAGCAAATAATAAATATTAATGACTATATACCACCAACAACCCATCGTGCATTGCGTATACTGTAGACATGTATGCTTATTTCGTTTTCGTCTCTACGATTCGTCATAATAACATTTCTGACCATGTTTTATTTATTAAACGACGGCGATAACGTCCCGGAGATGAAAAATACAAACGTTAAAATCAAATTAACACGGCGATGGGTAAATAATAATATTAAATTATTATACCCATGCGCCCTACGTTTGTAATACAAAATTTATACCAGTGCTTCTCAAAATTTCTCGACCCATCATGACTCCTTTTTTAAACTAAAGTTTTCTCAGGGCGTCCTGGAAATTCGTTACAATCAAAAACATGTTGTGATCGGATTAGTATTAGTCACGATATCTATCCCGGCGTATAGCTAAAGGTCACCAAGGTAAATAAAATCGCTATGTATCAACAATTGTTATCAGATTTTATTAAATTTTAGAAACGTAAAAGTATTGGCAATCTAGGCATTATTTAAAAAAAAAAAAATGAGGTACTGTTGGTAATATCCACGTATTTCAAAGTAAAGTGCGAATAATTTGGTGCATATTTTCGAGAAAAATTAAAAAAAAAAGGACGTCGGCTTCACCGTTTCTGCTGCAGTCATTTGGGTTTTAAATTTATTTTTCGGCCAGTAAATATAAAAAAAATGGTTACGCGGAGTCCCGTACAGACACCGAGGTGCCCTAGGTAGCCGTGGCACACACTTTGAGAACCGCTGATTTAGACGGTTGTATAGACGATAATAAAGTAATAAAATGAAAAAAAAATAAAAAAAGCGAAATTATGTGAGCTTAACACGCGTGCGCGATTACCTAAATTGATTTTAAACGTTAAGCATACCAAATATGTTAACGCGGTCGTGATTTAAATAATAATAATTTTAACCGCGTTCGGGGCATTATTCGGTATTTAGGTATAGTTTTATCCGTGAACACTATCCGGTTTCGAACATCGTCCGTAACATCGTATACAATAATCATTACTATTATTATTGTTATTATTATTACTATTATTATTATTGTTACGACTATAATGGCCCAGTGTTAAAATTTGACCATAAAAACATACCGGTGATTTTACATTTTTTTTTTTTTTTTTATCACCGAATCAATACGATATTATAATATTATCATACCGTATTGGACTCGACATCGATTGATAATTGAACATATTTTTTTTTTTACGGCAATAATGAATTTTAGTTTTTATTAGCACACCTTTAATTGTATAATAATATACGATACATAAGCACACTCGTACACACACAGTCACGCACAAAATAATAATGCCGTTATCAAGTATTGTTTGAACGGTTTGTCCGTGCGACAATTAATCGTGTACGATTTCGATTAAAACTATAGCTGCACATAGTAAGTACATTACATAATTTAATGGAGTTGCGTCAGAAATGATCAATAATTATATCCATGTAGGGTAATAGGAACATTAAATGTATTGATTGTGTGATTTATTTATAGGTTTTTCTCTTAAGAAACTGTTATAAAAAGACGGACATACTCGGCATAACAGTGGCCCGCCCACTGTGATAGGCGTAAAGTTGGGTAGGTAGGATGTAGAGGGGAATTTAATTTATATCTGTACGCAACGATAAACCATTGTGAACGAAAAACGATTCGGAGCGAACTTTCTTTTATATAGTTTATACGTTTTTTCCCGGTTTTTCCCATTAAATATGAAAACACCTTGGAAAATCAAAACATCACCTTCTTAAAGTACCGCCCAGATAAAATTTTCCTTCAGTAAAGGTGCTATACTTGATATATCGAAACAAGGTTTTCGAAAGAAAAATTACTTGCATTATAAAAAAATAAAAAATAAACCAGTACATTCCTCGCTACGCTCCGAATTTAAAATATTATTTTTACCATTTAGTCAGAAATATTTTAATCTAACCGTTATCAAGTATAGTAAACTACTAGTGGCGTCGAATCTTATGTTATGGTTGGGCCTACTCTTTTAAAAATTAAGTATAGAGCCGCTTCATTTTGGACCAAAGTTTGATTGCCAAACCGAATATTACAGAACAAAAAACCTACGCTAACCATAATTTTGGATATAAATGGGCTGTTTTTGGTTATTGGGGCTTTAGAAATATATTTCGCCTGACTTCATTTTCAGGACTTTGGCGCCACTGTACTACTACTATATAATACTTATTATATTATTATATATGTATATACATAAAAAATTATTGACAACACAATAATACTGAGCAGTATGAGCGGTGTTTGGAAAGTTCGCGTTCAATTGTACATGAACAATTTATATCTTTAGGTACTCAAGGATAAAACATTACTAGTGAGAAATTATTGTACACATTTATAAAAATCAATTTGTATGGTTTTCGTTAAAATTCGACCTTAAGATTTTCCGCGTCTAGATAATCCAATGTAATTATTTTGTGAAAATTTTAGATCTATACGAGTATTTTAAAATCGAATTACATTAAAAAAAAAATGAAACAGTTATATCTATAATTTTGGTCGTTTTTCCTAATTAATTACTATGCAAATTAATTGTAATAATCTCCTCGAATCACTAATTAGATCTAAAATTCAACAAAAAAGATTTTTTGTCACTTTAGGATTAGATTAAGATTTCTGGTAGAAAAGTAAGGACAGAAGAAAATCATCATTATATCAATATCATAGTAAAACCAACCCATTCCTGGCTTTGCTCAGAATATTAAATATATATAAAGTAATTACACAAATATACAATTTTTAAATCGATTTTAGTTTTAAAAAAATAATATTTTTGTTCTTAAACACATTTATAACTATAAAAGATAACGAGAATATTATAATTTGTATACGGGAAAAAAATACATTCATAATAATTTGATTTATTTTTAAGTTTTAATACTTATACTTATTTTTGTAGCAATATTAATAAACCTTATTAAAATATAAAATCAATACATTTCAATGTTTTTATTCGATAAGAATATAATATTTAAATTTTAGCTTTTGTGTCTATGAATATTTAATATAATATTATTTATTGAGTAGTACAAATAAATATGAAGGTAATTTCTAATAAAACAAATAAAAATATAGAAAACAAAAATTTATTATGTTATGTTTGTTATATGAAAAACAATGATTTATCATAACTAATAATATCATAGCGATATTGTATTATTTATGATTACAAATGTAAATAATAAACTAGATTGCTAACTACATGCCACTAGCATATTCCGCCAAGTTAGTTATGGGATATCATAGTAGATACCACATTGTGATGTTATTTTTGTCATTTTGAATAAATGATAAATATTAAGTTATTATCACAGAATAGATGAATAAATTTCAAGAATTCGTCATTATTACATAAAGTGATGTAGACATTCCTACTGTGCATTAATGAGCTGTGTGTATATTAGAAAATAGTAGGTATGATGTGATACCTGTACTGCAATATAATATTAACAGTGACAAAGTAATTATTCCATTATTCACTTTATATATAAACGGAATTATGGTTT